ACACCTACAAGTCAACACAATTGATGTTGTAGCCATTTTACTCCCACAAATAAGAGCGGACGCAACTAGTCCTTAGAATTGAAAACTAGCACTTGAAAAACTCTACAATATCTGTTAGTATGAAACTTAACGAAGTCTGGCAGCAGCTTTTATGAGTTTAACACTAGACTTTTCCGTAGCCCGTCGCTATGCCTAGGAAACTCTTGATTGAAAGAGAGAATTAACAGATGTGAATAAAATTACTGTGTACTTACTTATTTTGAGTGATCAATTATGTTTCGATCTACTTCTCAATAGAAATTCGTGAGTTTTTCATTTGCCTCAGGAAAAGAGTTGATTAGACTTAATTAATAATTTTCATGCACTAAATGAACTTTGTCCTTTTGCTAAAACACATTTTCTCAACAGCATTCAATTATCTACGAATTCGCATTAGTCTTAATTTTTAACAACACATCTTGAGTCCTAAATAACAATTTTTCTCAATGTCATGCCTTTCTCATGAAAAGTACAGTTTTCCACCAAATCTGACTTTTGTAATACGTTTTTTTTACCATTAAGGAGTTAATGAGAAATTCTCAACAGTAGATGGATCAATACAGTTTTGCACAGACGACATTCTCATCTATTTAGTTTTCAAAAAGTGTTTTATCCTCAGGTTCCAGTGAAAAATTAAAGAAAACAGTGCTTTGCAAGAGCATTTTAGGCGACGTTTGATATTTATATTTTTTCTCGCTCAAACTCAATTACAAAAATTTTTTCTCTATGTTCTGTGAAGTTCAGACTTTGCTCTTTCTAACGGGAAAACAATTAAATCACCAGCGCATCAGGAACTTGCACAAATAATGCTCGTCATTTTTTCCATTTCTTTTGCATCGGGACCTCCGGCAAAAATTTCGAGGGGAACTTTTTGTCTGCCTTCGAGTTCAAACTTAGGTGGAAAAGGTTTCTCGACATGCCCGATCCGAATATTGCAGTCTCGCGGCTGGAATCCTAGCGGATAAAAGATGTGGGTAGTTTTCATACGACGTAAAATCGCGTTGATTGTGATGACTGTAGTAACATTTTGAAGGACTTGATATAGAATTCAAATCTCTTCGCTATCGGCACGTTTATCCGATTCACTGTTGATCCTGAACGTCCCAACTTTCTAGCTATAGCGAATTAAAAGCTAACAATTTTCTAATGAACTTCGTTGCTCCATTAGCCAGCCAAATATATTTTTTTAACAAAAGAAAATGAATAATCTAACAATAAATAACGTGAATCGCATCGATTCACTAAGTCCATCGCCTGTAAGTCGAATGAATGCACTGTCATTACTTATAATGAAAATAATACCCTTCAACAATTTATTCAAAACCTACCAGAACATTTACCATCTTTCATGGAATTGGAACTAGTTAAACAAAATAATAAATAATAAAATAATAAAATATAAATATTCATTCTGTTGTAACTCGATCTTGTTACTACAGAATTGATGCATATTTTTTGCGATGAGAACGTCCATATTTTCCACCTTAGTTTACACTTGCTTTAGCTTCTCACCGGTCAGAAAAGTTTAGCAGAGTGAGTACGTGTTTCGAAGCCAAGTATGGAATAAAAGTCAAGTCTATCAAATCAGCATCGGTTCACGAGTAATGTGACTCTCAAAAGTTTGAAAGTGTCATAGCGTTATTTACTCAATTTGTGTAGTTCATCGAGTCTCTGTAATTTGATTTGGTTTTATCTGACCCCTAAAGAACCCCAGAGGTCTAACAATATTTCGAAATTCCAGACAATGCTCACGCGTTCCTTCGGTCCGCGCTCGCAGCCAGGATAGGTGTTACACGTCTCTGATTCCACAGAAAACCTGTCACACTCACTGGTCACTATATGTAAGTACGTCTGTCACACTTCTGTACGGACAAACACCCACACACTTTATTTTATATGACCGTAGACTTACAGTCAATGGAATAATGTCACATGATTTTCTGCCAGTTGGCAAAAAATTATTATAATTATCAGATTGTCAGAGGCGGTTCTGCCAACTGACAGAACGCCATTGGTGGAAAAGGGAATTGGCAGAGCGACAGAGATCCCCTGTATCCCTGAGCATGACAACTAGGACGTACTTTTCATATGCATGAAAAACTAATTTTATAAAAAATAAAGCAAATTTTCTGGTTATAGGAAGGTCATTAACAGTCCATTTATGATCATTCTTTAGTCAGTTTATCATCATTTCATAATAACTCAAAAATGATATAAAATCGCCTAGAAATCGGATAAGTACTTGCACATAAATGATACTAAGCTCATGTCATAAAAAGGACCTTGAAATGAGCATTGCTGATGTTCATTTTATTACCGTTTTTTGCGCATTCTTTCTGACTTGATTATTAATGGCTAATTTTTCCATCATCTGTAATAATGATCATAAAATGACCAATAAATGAGATCATGCGATCATGCCTAAGTCATCTTTCTACAATTACCTGCTCATTAATTCATCATCCTTCTGTCATATCACTAACTGGTCATTAACGTCTCATTAATATCTCATTGATATTCACCTGGGTAGTTAACTAACTGGTCGTTACTATTGTTTCAGACATCCGTTTTTTTTAATGTGTGGAGTTGAATCAACAATGACTAGTGAGAAAAGTAGTACAAAGCTAAGGAATACACAGTAGTGCCATCAAAAATGTATGAAGAGACTTTCCGTTATAACATGTAATCTTCTTCGGTAAACTCATCATGCATCATCCAACCTCATAATGTACAAACAGGTCTGTAACATTAGAAAACTAAATCTTTTAAATGATGCTCTGCTTGACCATCTAAAATGATCCCTCAATGAGATAACTTCAAAGTACTAAAATTAAAAAAAACGCAAATGCCATTTTCTCGAGCACATTCGAAAGTGCATGGAAGTATCTTTGCGACTTTAAGCTATCATCGTCTATGGTACTTTTTAGAGGCTACAATCTATTGAACAAGATGGCGGCAAATCTATCTGATCACTAGCCTCCTTCTTTTTGATCTGTTAACGCCTGTAAATTAATTATGAGCGATTCAAGCACAGTCTAATATGAACATCGATATCAAGCAAGTCTTTTGAAACTGAATGGAAAAGCTTCACTCGTTTACATTTCAACGTTAACATTATAGTTTTTACATATATATTTTTATAGTATTTTAAATTCTGATTTCAGTTCAGTTTCAACCGAAGGTAAAAGTTTAATGAAATGCAATATTGTCTCTACAATCCTTAGATATAACAGGAGTTGAAATCTCGAAACTGTGTTTTACTTCTGATTGCTTACTACGCGGAGTAGCGTTAAGAAAAGTTTTACATAAAGGTTGCTTTATTATAAGTACTCGAAGTCGCCCTCAGAGCTAACTTTGAGCTTTTCTCCAAACACCGTTTATCAAGAATAAACAGTACACTGGATCTAAATTAAAAATAGGAGTGTAACGAGAATGCATAATAAAAAAGATTCACTTATTGATTGGAAGAGGAAGATTTGACCGCACAAGAAAAAAACCCACTGTTGTTTGAAATATCAACAACTATACATATGGGTAATAATGTGTAAAAGCCATCATTGGTTGTTTCATAATGGGTGGTATATTTTCGATTGACTCTAGAAGATATAATACATAAAAATATCAAGTAGTAACACATACAAAAGACACAAAGCTTTGAATCGAAATGTTTCTTTTTCCTCATACATAGTGACATAATCTCATAATTTGAATCCTTTAGTCACTTAGCTGCATTGGATGCGTAAAATATTTTTCGTGGCACTGCCACTCAGAATGTGCCCGACTCCTCAACGGTAGAAAATGATCATATAATCGTTTCTCATCACAAATAAATTACGAAAAATAAATAATTACCTCTGAATTTAAGTTCTCTTGCCTCTTGGCAAACAGCACATGGTGAACAACACCAAGTAGTTAACCAGTCTGCGCATGGTTCTTCTTCAAGATTATATCGGAGTCTTAATGAATCCCTTTTTTCTTTGTGTATCAAACAACACAATAAAACTTCTGTCAACAAACAATAGCAACAACACTGTCCCAAACAATGCTTTCCATCGATCTGCTCTGCATTTAGTCCAAATAAACATGGAAGACAACAGCAACCAAGCATACAAATACCACAATTATTGAAACAACCAAACAGAGACTCTACAAGGTCAATGCAAGATCCATTTTTCCAGTTTCAGAAATTACCCACAAATGTTTTCTTACCGTGCCATTTTTGTTCACTATCATATTCTGCCATAATAATGACAACAAATTCTATTCAACTAAGAAATAAACCATTTTTGAAGGTTATATTCAAACTGCATCACATGAGAGCAACACTAGAGATATACCTTTCATGTAGAAACTGTCGCTCTGAAGCACATATTTTGTTCTTTCTGTTTTTTATTACGCATCAATGATGATATAACTATTGCCATTTTATTTTTGATTAGAAAGAGGACCAAAGATACCTGATTTATGGTAGTGATGATTTATGTACGAAAGAAAAGAAGCTTCAGTATTATGATTTTTGTGTATATTTTTATACAATCCCGAGATTTGCGCATATTTAATTATCTCTTGATACTCATTTCCGTGTAACTTTCTTTTGAGACACTTGCGGGATAATATTCATACACAAGAACAATTGACTGAAATTTTGTAATAAATCAATGAAACATATTACACATTTCGAAAGCATCTTTCTGTATTTTAATCAATTCTTTAGGACTAAACATGGATGTGTGACATTGGAATATTTTGGAAAAAATCGTCTTTCAGATATAACTGCCTCTAAATTTGAATAATCAATATTATGTCGTTCATCAAATAATGCTAGTATATCATCATCGGATAAATCAGTTCCTTTATGTATCTGATTATAATTTCGTTCAAAAAATAATGGTTTAAGTTGTGAATGTTCCATTGCTCTTATCTTGTGCTTGTTTCCATTGTCTACACACTCAATTGACCGTTCACAATACACTGCATATCCAATTATTATCATAAACTTTTCGTAATTTTTCAAGATTTATACAAATATAGGCAAACTCATATATCGTTAATTGTAAATGACCGACTTCGGGATATTTTTCGTCATTACGTATTAGTATATACAATTTTGCTATGTAGATACTCTTTAGTGCCATATTTTTAGATATCTTTTCTGTAATGATTTCGTTACTATTTGGTCCATGTGGAAATTGTGTTAGTATTGTCCGTTGCTCGAGTATCGATAACGCTTGTGATTTCAGTATTGGAGATACCAGTAAACCCAACCGAAAGAGTGGATCTGAATGCTCTAAGAAGTTATTCAGAGTATCGTGAACACCAAATTGAAGAATATTTTGTTTAACTAGTTCCAATTCCAGGAAAGATGGTAAATGTTCTTTTTGAATAAATTGTTGAAGGGTATTATTTTCATTATAAGCAATGACAATGCAGTCTTGTAGGTAAGCTGCAGGATAACACAAACATTCTGTAAATGAAACAATTGTGAGTTTGTCTTCAGCTGAAGTAAATGATGCTATAGGAGAATCAAATACACTATCAAAAACAGCTGTTTCCATTTTATCCAATTGTCTGTATCATGATTATCAAATTCAAATAATTAATCTAATATGAATAAGCAATCCAATTCATCAGCAGGATATTTCTTCTCAATCCAATTATGCTCAATTAACCGATAATCGGCAACAGCATCTTCAATACCGGGCGTACATTTTGGTAATAAATGACTGTCATCAGAATCAATACGACAACTATTTTTTTTCTAATATTTTCAAGTAAATTCGTGACGAGAGTTTTCACCCAACTGCAGTCGATTTACGAATGGACACAAACGGCGTGTAAATCCACAAAACATTCCGGTGAAAACTTACCTTTAATGACTAGCTCTATCTATCTGGTCAGCTCCATTGTAGAGAATTTCAGAGGCTATCCAATGGTATGTTTTCGAAAAATGTTTAATTTTTCATCACGGCAGAAAAATGACTATGTTACCAACATCAGTTCTGCAGAAAGTTGCATTTCACTCCAGTAATAATTTGATCTAAAATACCATCTGTGCCCAATTTCAAGATTTAAACATTCTTGTATTCGATCATACTTGATGTGCGCTATCTTTTGAATATAGATTGGTTACTTACCCAGGATGAGTGAAAACGATCATGTCTTTTCAGATAACAATAATAATAATACTTAGCGAAAATCCATTTTTGACTATTTTGAATCTAAAATTTATCTAAATATGAGATATACAAAAACTAAAACAGGCGATTTTTTCGACTTTTTCCGCAAGTTTTTTGAACAAATCTGATTTTTCCACAGAAAAAAATATCGCTGTGGAAAAGGTAAAAAGAAGACATTTAGATTATTGTGGACTTTTTTTGCTGTTGCTGTTGTTGCATATCTAATCTCTCTGCAGAATCATATTTGAGTGAAGCGCATATAACTTTACACAAATAAATAGACAGACTCAGATGTTCAAAACAGAGCTGGTTTATATGTTCGTTCGCACTCTGCGTTAGTGTATCGTCGCCAAATATTGTTTCTTCGAACAACGTATCATGAAGTTTTTCATGTCCGAGGATTATTAAGTCTCTAAGCACTTCCAAGTGGCGACCTGTACTTGAAATGCCATCCCTTATAATTTGATCTCGAAACTGATTAATACTGCTGGCTGTTTTGTGAGGGTGGGAAAATTTGAATAAATAAATAATTGAAATTTATATTGATAAAAACAAATTTTTC